TGTAGTGCATGGTAACCAACTAGTTACATAACCAAGGGTCCTTTTTTCTTCATCAGGATTAATCAAGGGATAGTAGGCTTTCTTGGATAGTCTCCCTCCTTTTGTAGAAATGTGAATATAGGATTCACTGTGGCTTCTCTGAGACCAGAGTTCAAACTGAAGTAGAAGAGAAAAAAAGAATCTAGTGGTCCAAGGAAACAGTTCTGGTGCTGAAATAAAGTAAGTACATGAAGACATTAGAGAGGTCAGGAATTAATAGACAAAGTGAACTATACTTGCAATACCTGCGCAAGAGCCAGAAACTGGATAGAGGCCTGGGTCAGGAACATAAGAGTATTGCTACAGAAGTAACAGGAAGATGGGTGATGACCTTTCTCTCTATCCTTGGGGTTGCTGTCTCATTGTTTGGAGAGCATTCACCGATTGCCAGGTTTAGAGGCTAAAACAGGTAAATCAGGAGCCCATTTTGTTCATTAAAGCTCAGAGTAGCCGGGCGCGGTGGCTGAAGCCTGTAATCCCAGCACTTTGGGAAGCCGAGGCGGGTGGATCACGAGGTCAAGAGATCGAGACCATCCTGGCCAACATGGTGAAACCCCGTCTCTACTAAAAATACAAAAAATTAGCTGGGCATGGTGGTGCGTGCCTGTAATCCCAGCTACTCAGGAGGCTGAGGCAAGAGAATTGCCTGAACCCAGGAGGCGGAGGTTGCGGTGAGCCGAGCCCGTGCCATTGCACTCCAGCCTGGGTAACAAGAGTGAAACTCCGTCTCAAAAAAAAAAAAAAAAAAAAAAAAAAAAGCTCAGAGTAAAATGTAGAATTCAAATGCACCTCTAAATAAGTGTTTATGGCCGGGCGCAGTAGCTCACGCCTGTAATCACAGCATTTTGGGAGGCCGAGGCGAGGGGGATTGCCTGAGCTCAGGAGTTCAGGACCAGCCTGGGCACCACAGTGAAACCTGTCTCTACTTAAAAAAAAATACAAAAATTAAGGCGGGTGTGGTGGCGTGCACCTGTAGTCCCAGCTACTTAGGAGGCTGAGGCAAGAGAATTGCTTGAACCCAGGAGGCAGAGGTTGCAGTGAGCCGAGATTGGACCACTGCACTCCAGCCTGGGCAGCAGAGCGAGACTCCGTCTCTTAAAAAAAAAGAAAGTAATTACTTCTTTTACAGTAAGATACACTGTCAGGACTATCTTAATTTTTAGCCTGAACAAAAGACTCGAAATCAAACACTGAACCCTTGAATTAACCATGTGACCTTCAGTAAGATACTTAACCTTTCAGAATGTTGATATCTTAAGATTGAGACCATGTCTATTTGAAGAGACTTGTAGTTTGCGTGTTTGGTAAATAGATGAGATTTAACTTTGCTTTAGGTCTCATTAATGTCTTCTTTTGACATAAAATGAAGTACTTATATTTTGTAAAGATTGTGGAGATTTTAATTACAGTAATTAATATTAAAACCTGAAAGAACAATGAAGTGTGAGCTCAAAAAAATTTTTTAAATGAGTTATGGCACTTCAATAGGAGGCTAAGTAGATAATTTTTAGGAAAGTATACTAGAACTCTTTGCCCAGGGGAACAGTGAAATGAACTGTATTGACATCTAATAAATTAACTGATAGCTTTCTCTTTTGAAATGCACATTAAGTAAAACATGCAAGATGAATTGATTCCTACTTTAAGCAGTCCTTTTTTTAGGTAGATTCATCCTAAATTATGGATTTACTACTTTTTCTTATGTGATAAAGGATAATAGTTGACATTTGTAGCCTCTGCTTGCATGATGGAATTGTCAAGTGGAATCTTCCTTTGCGATACAGTATGCTTTGGTGATTAAAAGGCCTGGGTTCAGGTTTTTTGTTTCATATTTTTGAGAGAGTCTTGATCTGTCACCCATGCTGGAGTGCAGTGGCACAATCTAGGCTCACTGCAACCTCCGTCTCCTGGGTTCAAGCGATTCTCCTGCCTCAGCTTCTCAGGTAGCTGGGATTACAGACACCCACCACCACACCCAGCTGATTTTTATATTTGTAGTAGAGACCGGGTTTCACCATGTTGGTGAGGCTGATCTCAAACTCCTGACATCAAATGATCCACCTGCCTGGGCCTCCCAAAATGCTGGGCTTATAGGTGTGAGCCACCGTGCCCAGCCAAGGTTTTTGTTTTTATTTTTTTTAGTGAAACAGACTCACGATATTGCCCAGGCTAGTCTCAAAAAATCCTGGGCTCAAGCAGTCCTCCCGTCTTCCCCATCAGCCCTAAGCCTCCCTAGTGACTGGGACTACAGGTGTGTGCCTACCACACCCAGCTACTTTTTGTGTTTTTTGTAGAGATGAGGTTTTGCCATGTTGCCCAGGGTTCAAGCCCTGGACTCAAGCAGTCTTCCCACCTCAAGCTCCCTAAGTACTGAGATTACAGGTGTGAACCACCATGCTCTGTTGGGTCTTGCTATATTGCCCAGGCTTATATCAAACTCCTGGCCTCAAGCAATCTTCCCACCTCTGCTACAAGACCTTTGATGCCATTTTACTATTGTGAAATCTTCATAATCTTTAATTTTCTATTCAGTATACTCATCTATAAAACAGTGAAAATTACCTCATAAAGATTGTCTTGGCAGGGCTCGGTGGCTCACGCCTGTAATCCCATCACTTTGGGAGGCTGAGGTGGGTGGATCATGAGTTCAGGAGATCAAAACCATTCTGGCCAACATGGTGAAATCCCGTCTCTACTAAAAAATACAAAAAATTAGCCAGGTGTGGTGACACGTACCTGTAGTCCCAGCCACTCGGGAGGCTGAGAGAGGGGAATTGCTTGAACCTGGGTGGCAGAGGTTGCAGTTAGCCAAGATCACCCCACTGCACTCCAGCTGGGCAGAGGAGCAAGACTCCATCTCAGAACAAACAAACAAAAAGATTGTCTTGAAGTACATTAGGGTCTTTTAGTTGCAAGTGACAGAAATCCAGTTCAGACTAGCTTAAACAATAAAAGAGAAGGCTGGTCTCTGACATGGTTTAGCTCAAACGGTGTTATCCTAGGCTTTCTCTTAAACTACTGCTTTTCTTTTGTTGGCTTTACTTTCCGATAGACTGTCACCAGATGGCATCTCTAGGTTTATTTGTTTAATTTACTTTTTGGAGACAGAGTCTTGCTTTGTTGCCAAAGCTGGAGTACAATGGCATAATCACAGCCCACTGCAGCCTCTGCCTTCTGAGCTCAAGTGATCCTCCCACCTCAGCCTCCCAGGTAGCTGGGATTACAGGCGCATGCCACCACACCCAGCTAATTTTTGTATTTTTGGTAGAGATGGGTTTTCACCATGTTGCCCAGGCTGGTCTCGAGCTCCTGACTTCAAGTGATCTGCTTGCCTTGGCCTTCCAAAGTGCTAGAATCGAGCCACCATGCTCGGTCTCTAGGTTTATTCTTTGTAATTAGCAATCTTAGAGAAAATTGCTGACAGGCACGTGCGCGCACACACACACACCTCTGTTTGATATAGGTCAACCCCAGGGTTACATTCAAATCTCTAGTCTTTTTTTTTTTTTTTTTTTTTTTGAGACGGAGTTTCACTCTTGTTACCCAGGCTGGAGTGCAATGGCGCGATCTCGGCTCACTGCAACCTCCGCCTCCTGGGTTCAGGCAATTCTCCTGCCTCAGCCTCCTGAGTAGCTGGGATTACAGGCACGCGCCACCATGCCCAGCTAATTTTTTGTATTTTTTAGTAGAGACGGGGTTTCACCATGTTGACCAGGATGGTCTCGATCTCTTGACCTTGTGATCCGCCCACCTCGGCCTCCCAAAGTGCTGGGATTACAGGCATGAGCCACCGCGCCCGGCTCAAATCTCTAGTCTTGTTGAGTAACAGGAATTTTTTTGTATATTCTGGGTATTACACCCTTTTCACGTATATTATTTGCAAATTTTTTTTTCCATTCTGAGTTGTCATTTTATTCTCTTGATAGTGTAAGTTTCAGCTTTTAAATGTAGGTCTTTGATTCATTTTGAATTAATTTTTGTACATTATTTAAGGTAGGTTTCCAACTTCATTCTTTTTTTTTTTTTTGTCTGAGACAAAGTCTGGCTCTTTTTGCCCAAGCTGGAGTGCAGTGGCATGATCTCGGCTCACGGCAGCCTCCACCTCCTGGGTTCAAGTAATTCTCCTGCTTAGCCTCCCAAGTAGCTGGGATTACAGGTGTGTGCCACCACGCCTGGCTAATTTTATATTTTTAGTAGAGACAGTGTTTTTTCAAATCAACAGGAACTTGGAAAAATAAAATAAAAGAACAAAAGAGACAGGGTTTCATCTTATTGGCCAGGCTGGTCTCAAGTTCCTGACTTCAACTGATCTGCCTGCCTAAATGTCCTGAAGTGCTGGGATTACAGGCGTGAGCTACTGTGCCTAGCCCCAACTTCATTCTTTTACATGTTAATATCTAGTTTTCTCAGAATCATTTGTTGAAAAGATTGCTATTTTCCTATTGAATGGTTTTGGCACTCTTGTTTTCGAAGATTAGTTGACCAAATATGTGGCCATTTATTTCTGGACTCTATACCACTGATCATGTCTATCCTTATGTTAGTATCATACTGTTTTTTATTTTGTTTTGTTTTGTTTTTTGAGACGGGGTCTCACTCTGTCGCCCAGGCTGGAGTGCAGTGGCGCGATCTTGGCTCACTGCAACCTCCACCTCCTGGGTTCAAGCAATTCTCCTGCCTCAGCCTCCTTAGTAGCTGGGATTACAGGTGCATGCCATCACAACCAGCTACTTTTTTTGTGTTTTTAGTAGAGACGGGGTTTCACCATGTTGTCCAGGATGGTCTTGAATGTCTGATCTCGTGATCCACCTGCCTCAGCCTCCTAAAGTGCTGGGATTACAAGCATGAGCCACCATGCTTGGCACACACTGTTTTAATTTTTGTAGCTTTGTAGTAAGTTTTAAAATCAGGAAATCCTGATTTTTTCCAGCTCTGTTCTTCTTTTTCAAGATGATGTTGGTTGTCCTTGACTTGCGTAGAGTGACGTCTGGTTGGTACTGCCCATCTCATAAAAATCAGGGAAAAATCAATGCCTTATTTATTTCAGCTTGGCTTTTGGTCATGCCTATTCCTGGTTTATGCCTTGGACACATGGGAAAAAAGATTGTGTTGGCTATTTGGGATCTCTTAAGATTTCATGTGTATTTTAGAGTGATTTTTTTTCTATTTCTGCAAAAACTGTTGCTGAGACTTTGTTATGGATTACATTGAATCTGAAGATCACTTTATATGACTCAAGGACATCTCTTTTTTTTTTTTTTAAAGATCACTTTTGAGAGTATTGTCATCTTAGCAATATTAAGTCTTCAATCCATGAACCTGGCAGTCAAGTCTTTCCATTTATTTAGGGCTTTAATTTCTTCCAGCAGTGTTTTGTAGTTTTCAGTTATGAGTCTTGCCGTCCATGGTTAAATTCATATCTAAGTATTTATTCTTTTTTTTTTTTTTTTTTTTTTTTTTGTATTTTTAGTAGAGACGGGGTTTCACCATGTTAACCAGGATGGTCTTGATCTCTTGAGCTTGTGATCCACCCGCCTCGGCCTCCCAAAGTGCTGGGATTACAGGAGTGAGCCACCGCGCCCGGCCTATTCTTTTTTGATATTATTGTAAATGAAATTGTTAGCTATGCACAGTAGTTTATGCCTGTAATCTCAGCACTTTGGGAGGCTGAGATGGGAGGATTGCTTGAGCATGAGAGTTCAAGACCAGCTTAGGCAACGTAGTAAGACTTCATCTCTACGAAAAATGAATGTGAGCATAGTGGCTCACACCTGTATCCCAGCTACTCAGGAGGCTGAAGTGGGAAGATTACTTGCTGCAGTGAGCCGAGATTGTACCACTGCACTGCAGCCTAGGTGACAGAGTAAGACCCTGTCTCCAAAAAAAAAAAAAAGAAAGAAAAAAAAAAACAGCAATTATTTCCTCAATTTTCTTTTTGGATTGTTTATTACTAGTTTATGGAATAAGTTGTATAACTTATTATTTTTGTATGTTGATTTTGTGTCTCTCAACTTTGCAAAATTTGTTATTTTGTGGATTTTAGTACTTTTTTTGATCCCCACATGATGGCAGAGGATCAAATGAGATGCATGTGAGAACTGTTGTCAAGCAGTTCTATGTATGTCAGAGTTATGATTTCTGGTACATGATGCAACATGTAAAACCAGGTGACTGGTAGGTTTGTGATCAGGGATCCCAAATTCAATACTTTATTAGGCCATAGGGCTTTGTTTTTTGTTTTAGTTACTTACTTTTGAATAGGTAATAAATACACAGTGAAAAACATTCAACAGCCATAAAAAAGTATATAGTAAAAAGTAAACCTCCGAATTCTGTCCCTTAGTCACCAAGTTTTCCCTCCCAACAGCAACTCTAGCATAGTTTCTTATGCATCTTCCCAGAGATATTCATGTTACACACAAGCAAAACGTGTATATCTATACGTATATATGTCTACACAGACACACAGACATACACATACAATATTTTACATGAACTGCCGTTCTTAAAGGCATTTGAGTTTGCCCCTCAGCTTATGCTACAGTTGTGTAACCTAGCATGAAGACCTGTCATAATTATTTTATGTATTATATATTAATATTTGCTTTAATCATTTTCTTTTCAGTTTTGATGAAGCAAGAGCACAGAGAAGAGATTGATTTGTCTTCAGTTCCATCTTTGCCTGTGCCTCATCCTGCTCAGACCCAGAGGCCTTCTTCTGATTCAGAGCGCCCACACGACAGTGTACTGTCAACACAGAGAACTTTGGTTTGTTCCATCCCACAAACATATGCATCCATGGTGACCTCATCCCATCTGCCACAGTTGCAGTGTAGAGATGAGAGTGCAAGTAAAGAACAGCATATGATTCCTTCTCCAGTTGTACACCAGCCTTTTCAAGTCACACCAACACCTCCTGTGGGATCTTCCTATCAGCCTATGCAAACTAACATTGTGTACAATGGACCAACTTGTCTTCCTCTTAATGCTGCCTCTAGTCAAGAATTTGATTCAGTTTTGTTTCAGCAGGATGCAGCTCTTCCTAGTTTAGTGAATCTTGGCTGTCAACCACTGTCATCCCTACCATTTCATTCTTCAAATTCAGGCTCAACAGGACATCTCTTAGCACATACACCTCATTCTGTGCATACCCTGCCTCATCTGCAATCAGTGGGATATCACTGTTCAAATACAGGACAAAGATCTCTTTCTTCTCCAGTGGCTGACCAGATCACAGGTCAGCCTTCTTCTCAGTTGCAACCTGTTACATATGGTCCTTCACATTCAGGGTCTACTGCAACAGCTTCCCCAGCAGCTTCTCATCCCTTGGCTAGTTCACCACTTTCTGGGCCACCATCTCCTCAGCTTCAGCCCATGTCTTACCAGTCTCCTAGCTCAGGAACTGCCTCATCACCGTCTCCAGCCACCAGAATGCATTCTGGACAGCACTCAACTCAAGCACAAAATACAGGCCAAGGGGGTCTTTCTGCACCTTCATCTTTAATATGTCACAGTCTGTGTGATCCAGCTTCATTTCCACCTGACGGGGCAACTGTGAGCATTAAACCTGAACCAGAAGATCAGGAGCCTAACTTTGCAACCATTGGTCTGCAGGACATCACTTTAGATGATGGTAAGTTCATCTGTGGTATGTTCTTGATGTAGTGAAGATTCAGGAACTTAATTTTCCCAAGTGTCATAAAAAAGTTATTATGGATTGCTTATTGGCATATGGTTGGGCCTTTAAATAAATTGTTATTAGAAATATATGTTAATATATAACTTTGAGGATAGCTATGAAAATCCATGCCTTAGCATCTGTTTTACCACTAATATCTGTTGCTGAATAGGACATCTTTTCTTCCAGAATATATAGTGAGATCACAGTGTCTAGACAATGGAATTCAAGGCCATTAATTCCATAAACATTGCTGAATGCTGTCCTTTTGAAAGATGGAGCTAGATACTGGGAATATGAAGGATGTATTAAGATAGAGTTCTTGGCCGGGCATGGTGGCCCACGCCTCAAATCCCAGCACTGTGGGAGGCCAAGGCAGGTGGATCACTTGAGGTCAGGAGTTCGAGACCAGCCTGGCCAACATGGTGAAACCCCATCTCCACTAAAAATTAAAAAAAAAAAATTAGCCAGGCGTGGTAGCACATGCCTGTAATCCCAGCTACTCAGGAGACTGAGGCAGGAGAATTGCTTGAACCTGGGAGGCGGAGGTTGCAGTGAGCTGGGATTGTGCCACTGCACTATAGCCTGCATGACAGAGCGAGACTCCATCTCAAAAAAAAAAAAAATAGAGTTCTTGTCCTTGAGAAGATTTACACAAGTTAAGAACCTGTACCATAACAGCTTGCTGAGTCAGTCGGTGGTATTGGTACAAGATGCGACTAGTTTACTACTGCTACTGCTGTAGTTGTTGGCACAGGATAAAAAGAAACTATATATGTATAAACATAGAAAGTTGGTATGGAAATTTCTGCTTTTGTGAAATCAGTAAATTCTAGAGAATCATGAATATTTAGTCAATAATTAAAAATTGTCCAAGACAGGATTTTAAGGTAACAGTTTTAGAATTTATTCTTGGCTTTATCATGTATATGATAGTGAAATTTAGTCTAAATAGGAATTCAGTGAAAGCTACCTAGAGCTGTTGTCCAATATAAAAATTGTAGGGCCAGGCACAGTGGCTCACACCCGTAATCCCAACACTTTGGGAGGCCAGGGCAGTTGGATCACCTGAGATCAGGAATTCAATACCAGCCTGGCCAACATGGTGAAACCCCATCTTTACTAAAGATAAAAAAATTAGCTGGTTGTGGTGATGGGTGCCTGTAATCCCAGTTACCAGGGAGGCGGAGGCAGCAAAATTGCATGAATCCAGGAGGTGGAGGTTGCAGTGAGCCAAGATCACACCTTTGGACTCCAGTGTGGATGACAAGAGTGAAACTCCGTCTCTCAAAAAAAAAAAAAAAAAAAAAAAAATTGTAAAGATTCTGAAACATGGATATAGAATTTTAGCTTTCTCTCTGATTCTGTATTAATTCACTCTAGGAAAATAATTGTAGATTAACCATCTCCTTTTATAGATCCGGAGAGACTGAGTTTACTACTTAGTTGCAAAGCTGGTATTCCAACTCCCAAGCACAAGGGGTAAGGAAGGTAAATGAGATTTAGCATCCCATCTTCTGGGACTTTCCAGTCAGACTAGTATATAACTGGTTACTTACACAGTGTAGTGGGTCTAAGTCTCTATAACCAAGGTATAAAAGAAACACATTAAGAGATTAACAGACAAGAGGCTGGGCACAGTGGCTCATGCTTGTAATCCCAACACTTTGAGAGGCTGAGGCATGCAGATCACCTGAGGTCAGGAGTTTGAGACCAGCCTGGCCAACATGGTGAAACCCAGTCTCTACTAAAAATACAAAAATTAGCTGGGTGTGGTAGTATGCACCTGTAATCCCAGACAAGAGCAAAGATCCATCTCAAAAAAAAAAAAGACCAGGAGCTATAGTGCATGTAGTGCATGCCTGTAATTCCAGCACTTTGAAAAGCTGAGGTGGGTGGATCACTTGAGCCCAGAAGTTGAAGACCAGCCTGGGCAACATGGCAGAACCTCATGTCTACAAAACAAAATACCAAAAATTAGGCAGACGTAGTGGTGCGGACCTGTAGTCTTAGCTATTCTGGAGGCTGAGGTGGGAGGACCACCTGAGCTGAAGAGGTTGAGGCTGCAGTGGGCTGTGGTCATGCCACTACACTCCAGCTTGGGTGACAGAGTGATATCCTGCCTCAAATAACAAAAAAGATCAGCAGAGATATGTAACAGATTTCACAGGAAGGATTCAGTGCAGCTTCTGTGAGTAGGTGACATTTGAGCCAAGTTTTGGAGGAGGAATGCAGTTGGCTGTCTGCATGCATAGGTTCCACACCTTGGATTCAACCATCTATGGATTGAAAATATTTGGGGGGAAGAAAATGGATGGTTGCATCTGTACTGAACATGTACATACAGACTTTTTTTCTTTATTCCCTAAATAGTATAATATTACAACTGTTGCCATAGCATTTACATTGTACTTGGTATTATAAATAATCTAGATAGGATTTAAAGGGAGGATGTGGGTAGATTATTTGCAAATACTATACCATTTTATATAAGGGATTTGTACATTCATGGATTTTGGTATGGGGGAGTTGTAAAACCAGTCCCCATGGACATAGTCATTTTTCAGGACTGCCCGTGTACAATCAAGTCATGCATTCTCAAGTTCAACGGTTACCCGGTGGAACTCACATGTAAGAAAAGCAGCTGTGGTCTCAGCGCTTTTGGAGGCCAAAGTAGACAGATTACTTGAGGCTAGGAGTTTAAGACCAGCCTGGGCAACATAGCAAGACCTCATCTCTACCAAAAATCCCCGCAAAAAGTAGCTGGGTGTCCTGTTATGTGCCTGTAGTCCTAGCTACTAGGAAGACTAAAGTGGGAGGATCACTTGACCCCAGGAGTTCAAGGCTGCAGTGAGCTGATCACATGCTATTATACTCCAGCCTGGGTAACAAAGTGAGACCCTGTTTCTAAAAAAATTAAAAAGTCCACATATGCAGATTTCACATTCAAGAATATTGTTTTTTAGATCCATGTTTGATTGAAACATGGATCTAAAAAATGTGAAATCTGTGTATAAGTGGACCCAGGCAGCTCAAAGCTATATGGTTCGAGGGTTACCTGAGTATGTTTTCAGTAAATGAAGATCAGGGGCACATCAGATAATATAGCAGAAATAGAGATAAGATATGTTTGTTAGGGAAGGATATGTCTGTGGTGGGGTGAGGTATGGCACAGGGGTGGGGGGGTGAGGTATGGCACAGGGGTGGGGGATGGGGGTGATTGGTATTGTACGGTACAGGATGGTTTTAAAGCCATGAGGGGACATGCCAGGTCATTTGTGTGTAAACAGAAGGTATATGTGTAAACTAGAGCAACACCAAAAATTTGCATAGCATTTTTCTATATATTATGTAATCCCTAACTTTCCTCAAACTCTGAGGTAGATAGTAACATTTACGGAGTTGGACTTTTGAAAGATCACACAAGTAGTAAGCAGCAGAGCTGAGACTGGATCAGTCCAGTCTTTTTCTTGTGGCACTATAGCTGCCTCCCAGAAACAGTAGGCCATGGTGGTTAGAAAAGAACTCTGTACCAAACGTAATCCCTCAAGGCTTTTCTAATTCCTGGAGAATATTCTCTAGAAATGCATGTGCAGAATTTCACTGCATTAACCCATGTTCACAACTACATCTAACCTATCACACTGTGTTGGGAGTACTTGAGGATTCTGGTATTTAAGCATTTTGTCTTGCTCTGTGCACAGCTGGCATAAGTATCACTCCCTACTTAATGATGAAGCCAAGAGGTAGAGAGCAGGCTGCTATTTTTATGCAAAACAGATTTGAAATAAAGCCTTCTGCAAATACTGACTTTTAAAATGTTTCTTGTTTCTTCTTTTAGCGGTTTTAAACTAACTCTTCACATTGCTTTTCACCCTGAAACAAAGAGTGAGACCTTGTGTCACTCATTTGTGATATACATGAAGATAGGAGATTTATTGAGTGGATCTTTAAGGTCATTTCAGTTCATTTTCTTTACCAACGAAGATATTTTTTCCTTCTAAAAAGAGCCCAAAGCTAGAACCTGCTCTTTCTAGTTTACCACAAGTTGAGAGATTTAGGGGTGGAGGGTAGGATAGACAACAAATGAGAATTTCTAGAAAAAATTTGTGATAATTTACTTCATTGCTTGATTATATGAAGATTTGTTGCAAAAACAGAAGATCTAGAAAGGTGAGGTCTGTAAGGGCAGCTGTAAAAGCAATTTTATTTTTTCTCTGTTTATTATGTAGGCCATACAAGCAAGAAAAGGGCTGGGTGTGGTGGCTCACACCTGTAATCCCAGCACTTTGGGAGGCCGAGGTAGGTGAATCACCTGAGGACAGGAGTTCGAGACCAGCCTGGTCAACATGGTGGTACCCTGTCTCCACTAAAAATACCAAATAATAATAATAATAATAATTAGCCAGGGATGGTGGTAGGCACCTATAGTCCCAGCTACTTGGGAGGCTGAAGCAGGAGAATTGCTTGAACCTGGGAGGCAGAGGTTGCAGTGAGCTGAGATCCGTGCCATTGCATTTGACAACACTCCTGTCTCAAAAAAGAAAAGAAAAAAGAAAGGTTCCCAGATTGTAGGACAGGAACTAGCTATCAGATTTGCTCATTGCCACCCTTCAGGGGACTTAATAGAAGCTCTGTGCTGCCAAGCAGTAATTACAGAGAGGGAAGAGCAGGACACAATGGTGTGCACCTGTAATCCTGGCGACTTGGGAATGCAAGATGGGAGGATCACTTGGGCCAGGGAGTTTGAGTCCAGTCTTGCCAATATAAGGAGACCCTGTCTCTAAAATAAAATTAAAAAGAAATTAAAAAGAAAAAAATAAAATTAAAAAGAAAAAAAGAAAGAAAAAGAGGAGGGAAAAAAACTGAAACGCACTTTTTATTTTTTTGTGATGGAGGTCTTACCCTGTCACCCAGACTGAAGTGCAATGGTGTAATCTTGGCTCACTGCAGCC